AGAGAGAGAGAGAGAGAGAGAGAGAGAGAGAGAGAGAGAGAGAGAGAGAGATGTGTGTGTGTGTGTGTGCGTGTCATGAAGATAACCATGGGAACGATTCTGAAGAGAGCAGGGCGATGGTGAGGAAGAGATACCAATGAGAATACGTGAGAACGATGATGATGATGATGATGATGATGATGATGACGGAATGATGCTAATGACTTGCGATATCATAATCTGAACTGACCACCCGTAGTAGGTAATTCAGTATTTCACTCATCTGCTTCCACTGAAGTTCGAACTGTTCAATTGGTCTGTATTTCATCTGTTCAGTGGTGTAACTGAGCTAGGCCAGTTGGTTTCAAGACGGTACTTTGGGGAGATTGGCTTGGCGCGGAAAGACGTGGGACCCTGGACGTGGTTTCCAGCAATAACCTAGGCTGGTATTGGCCCCAGTACTCCCAGGTTGTTTGTGAGGGTTCCCAGCCTCTGTTGTTCCAAGTTATTTTTTTATTTTTTATTTTTTTTTTAGCTATATTCTTCTCTCTTTTTTTTTTTTTTTTTTTTTTTTTACAAGACACTCAATTTCACCTCACACTACCTACCTACCACTACTCCTAATTGTAGGCATACGGGGAACCCCGTAGCAGCCAGAACCGGGTTCACGAGAGAACATGCGGGGGCTGCTCCCGACCTGCAGGTGGGCGATACCGGCTAGGGGACAGCCGGTAGCATCAGGGAGCATGCCAACAGGACCAATCCCTGACATTTTCCCTGTGCCTCCCCTCAGGTCCCCTCCCCTATGAACATCAGCAGATTCTGCTAAATGCCAATCGGGGGATCCAGTGGATCTATCTCTAGGTGGCGGGCGCCAAGCATGCCCAGGAAGGCACATGAGGCCAATGGGGATTGAACCCACGACCTCCTGAACGCCACTTGCGAGCCTTACCAACTGAGTTAGATAAAGTGCACAATCTTCCTGAAAATGAAAAAAGGGATAACTCTAGAAAAATGCCCTTCAGTCAAAACTGAAATTCTAGAGATGTTCAGGTGGAGGTGTAAGGGATTTTTGGAGCCCATGCGAAACTTCCTCCCTCTGAAGAGAGCGGCAGAAAAAGCCTTGCAGGGCATACTCACACTAACACTTACAATAGCAAATTATATGTGAGCCAGTTTGGGATGATAGGGCACTTCCCAGTCACACAGCACACCCGTGTACATCACAAAACAGAAAGGACACAGTCTCGACCTGCTCTAGGAATGCGGTTATACTGGCGACACAGTCTCGACCTGCTCTAGGAATGCGGTTATACTGGCGGAGGGGTCACACAGCACGATGCATACGATGCATAAAAATCCATCCCTTTTTCCTGTTTTCTTTTTCTTTTTTTTCCCTTTTTTTTTATATATAAAGTCCAGGGTGTTGTAGAGGCCAGTTACTAGGCACACATTGATCGCTGGAAGCGGTCAGCCGTGGTCGCTCTGAGGAGATGAGGCCACCACCCATCCCATCCTCGCGTCAATACTCCTAGTGCATCCCCTATCCCTACTATCCGACCTCAGTGTGACCAGCACTCAGGACCATCACCCTACGTATCGAGGGGGTCTTAGACCGAACAGTAGTGACAGGCACCAGGGCTAGCTACCCAGCCCTGGTTGAAGCATAGTCGAACAGCCTCGTTGTACGGGTACTTCAGACGCCAGGCTCAAGCAATCACCTATTGGCCCCTAAATTGACCAACTAGTAACTCACGCCCTCTACTCTCCCACCACAGACCTAGCTGTATATTTAATGCGGGGCACTTATCATCGAGGCGCCTATCATCATCACCACCAGTTGGAGTCGACCAAGCCAACCAGTGACTCACGCCCTCTACTCTCCCACCACAGACCCTAGCTGTATTTTTAAGGCGGGGTACTTATCATCGAGAAGCCTATCATCGTTATCAGTTGATCGTGACCTCCACCCAGCCCGTGTGTATGTGTGTGTGTGTGTGTGTGTGTGTGTGTATGTGTGTGCCCCCTAAGTTGACCAACCAGTAACTCACGCCCTCTACTCTCCCACCACAGACCTGGCTGTATATTTAATGCTGGGTACTTATCATCGAGACGCCTATCATCATTACCAGTTAGAACCCACCAGACCAACCAGCGACTCACGCCCTCTACTCTCCCACCACAGACCCTGGCTGTATTTTTAAAGTGGGGTACTTATCATTGAGACACTTAACATCATTATCAGTTGGTCGTAACCTCCTCCCAACCCTATGGTTGTAGACGTGCCTACCCTATGGTTGTGTATGTGTGTATGTACTCTGTATCATAGATGTGTGCCCGTGGGCTATATGTATGGTTGTATGCTGCTCCCCACCATGGAGCATCTGCGAAGTGAGTACTGAGTACTGGTAAGCTATGTGACACCCGCGGCCTAGGCCGCGGGCATTTCGGCCGCTGCGGCCGAGAATCTCGGCCGCGGCCGCGGCCCGGTTTTTTAATTTTTTTATTTTAACCCTGAAATATGTAAAACAAAAAATTTAAAAAAATGGGGGTGTAGGGCTTGGAAAACCCTACACTCCTAAATCTTGTTTTTTGGAATCCGACTTTGTTGAAGATTTTTAAGAGATCAAAAACTAAATTATTTTAATGCGCCTCCGGACCGCTGGCTCGACAGATGGACGATCCCCGCACCCTGCCCCGTCTACGTAGAGATCAATGAACGAATCATAGCGGAATTAACCCAGAGTCTCCACCTTGTGGATACCTTTAGACAAGCCTTCCCGAACAGGAGGACTTTCACGTGCTTTCGCAAAAATCAGTCTCAGAAGGCGACGAAGTCACGTATCGACCTCGTACTAATCTCGGAGGAGCTGCAAGGGGCACTGCAATTAGCAGAAATATTCCCGCGCAGCCCACACCCGGGGCTGGACCACGCTCTGTGTCTCGCCATTTTCTCCTCCCGAAAAAAAACAGATCAAGGGAAAGGATTCTACAAACTCAATACATCATTGCTAGCCAGCGAGAGGTTCAAGACTTACCTGAAAGATGTCTGGGCCTTCTGGCGTCAGCAAAAGACGCTGATTCAAGATGACATAGTATGGTTCAATAACGGCCTGGCTTTTCTAGGCCGCAAGTGCAATGAATACTCGAGGCTACTCGCCGCAAAACGCAACGCCGAAGAGATGGATCTGCAATTCATACTACAACAACTCCAACAACAAGAAGATGGCATGTGTGATGATAACAGACTGGCAGAATTATCTGATGAAATAAAATCACTAGAAAACCGGATCCCAGAACGCATGGAATATCGATGGCAAGGCATCCGGATCCGAGGAAAGCTGCGTAGGCATGAAATCGAAGGAGCCATGGACGAAAGATTCTTTGCACTAGCTAAAGCCAAACTAGGGAGATCAACCATTGAAGCCCTGGAAGACCCCCGGGACCATGGAGCCCCGTGGCAGACATCCACAGCGGCTTGCACCAAAATTGCACGGGACTTCTATCAGGACCTCTTTACGTCTGAATGTAGGACTCAACCGGAGGCACAAAGGCTCAAAGAAATCGATGAGTTTTTGCGGCCCCTCACGAGGACACTGACCACCCACCAGCAAGATATGTTAGAGCAGCCCATATGGACAGCACTATTGCTCATGGATGAGGAAAAAACCCCGGGCATTGACGGTCTGCCGAAGGAATTTTGAGAGGCAATGTGGGAAGACATGTCACAGGACCTGATGGACTACTATAAATCCATGTGGGAGACAGGCAAGACAGGGGAATTCGTGGGCCAATGTGTCCTAACACTCCTATACAAGAAAGGCACGAAGACAAACATAAGAAACTACAGACCAATTACACTTCTTACATTGGTCTACAAAATGGTAGCCAAAGCATTGGTGAACCGCCTGACCAAGGTAATGGACGATATCATCCACCTGAACCAGACAGGATTCATAAAGAGTAGGAATATCCAGGATAACATCCTGCTGGTGAACGAGGTGATTAAACTGGCCAGGCAATCTAAGCGGAACGCTGCGATTATTTTCATTGATTTCGAGAAAGCTTACGACCATGTGGACTGGCTATTTTTGGACAAATGCTTGGAAAAACTAAACTTTGGACCTGCATTCAGACGATGGGTGCAGATTCTTCACCAAAATACAACGACTGTTGTCATGATAAACGACAACCTTGCTCCGCCCTTCGCCTTACAGCGATCGGTGAGACAAGGGGACCCTCTAGCTCCCTTCCTCTTCGTCATAATCATGGAAGCACTCGCAACAAATCTCAGAGCCAACAAAGACATACAAAAAATACAATTCTCGTAAATCCCGGAGGAAGCTATCCCGGTTTACTCCATGTTTGCCGACGACCTGACCCTCATGGTGGATGCAACCCAGACATCGATGGAGGAAGTGCAGCATATGATGGATCGCTTCTGTTGCCTATCCGACATGAGAGTGAATTGGGGCAATAAAACTCTAGGATGGTGGATTCACCACCAAGGGGTGCGACCACCGGAACAGCCTCAGGTGAGATGGCTCCCTCAGGAGGCCCCGATCAGGGTCTTAGGAGTCTCCCTCACAGCCAACGGAAGACCGACAACAAATAATGAGTGGATAGCTAGACCCCCGTTGGAAAAACTGGCCCTATGGAAAGATAAACGCACCTCACTGTTGGGAAGAACTCTGGTAATCAACAATGTCGTGCTCGCCACCGTTTGGTATAGATCAGCCATCTGGGGCTTGGACAAAGCCACCCTACGGCCCCTCCAACGGCAGATAGCGGCATTCCTATGGCGAGGGGACCACGACAAACAGGATGTGTTAAACAGAGTGGCATGGCAGTCGATTACCCAACCCAAAGTAAGAGGGGGACTGGGTATAATTGACCCCACGACACAAGTCAAGGCGCTGGCCATACAATACCTTAAACGCCTGCTCTTCTGCCCTCACATCCCTTAGAAGGAGCTGGCCCTGGAACAGATTGCAAGGCTGGCCCGAGACGCCCCAGCCCACATTGACCCACTCACATGGATTGAGAACAGAACATGGACCATTCCCAAGAGGCGGCCTCAACAAGAGGGCCCGCCTGCTAGCTCCCCACGACAATAGGTGATAATGGATCTGCACAAGGACCCATTCTGGCCAACCCTCTTACAAACATGGCGGGCCCTTCCCCTACCAGACAAAACATCACCGGAGAGATGGGACGAAGTGCTCCGGCAGCCGCTTTTCGAAAATAGAAAGATAACTAATCTACGGGGCCAAATGCTGCA